ACATACAAAATTGCTTAGAGCAAGACCATATTAGAGTAATGTAAGGTTTTCTGAGGAGACTAATAGAAAGATTCGGTAAAATTATTGCATCTGTGCTGGACCCAGAATAATATTGTGTGTGTTCCTTAGATACAGTTTGCTACACCATGAATTATAAGTAGTTAACTGAATTTTGGAATTTCTGTTCCGAAATGCCTTCCAAGATATGCAGCCAGGCAGATGCTGTAATGAAAATATGAACCCTGGTGACCATGAAAAATGGATCCTGACCTTCACTTAAAGCTGACAATGGCCTTTCTGTAGGAAAATAATAGATTTCATCACTCACCTTATGAGGCAAAATCAAACAAACAGACAAGAATTCTGCAAATAAAAGTTTTTTTTTAATATGAGAAAAACTACAAGCTAATCAATATATTCTACCCAACAAAGTATATTTTGATCACAGAATATAGCAACTGAAATCTACAGAAGAAAATATTTTCAAAGATCAGAGCCAGGGCTCTTTTTGTCCTCCGTTCACATGTTCCCTGTTCTGTAAAACACTTTCAATAGGCACCGTAAGGCTACATGTGGTTCCTGCTTTCTTTGCAGCCTTTGTGACTACGGAAAATAAAATATAAATCTCCAAAGGTGATATAAAATATTAATATTCCAGATTTTAAAAAATTCTTATGAAAAAATACTGAATTTTGATTCAGTTATGTTTTCCTGAGAGAAAGTCCTCAGGATAAATCCAGGTTATCCAAACTCCTAACTGTCAGTAGGCTACATAACAACTAATTAATCTCCATCATTTTGATATTTCAGACTTCCCAATTTCTTTAATTATAGACATGTGAAGACATCAAATATATATATATATATATATATATATGTTCATTAACGTATGTCCTTTGCTTTTTTTCTTACTTATCTTCCTGCAGAAAACACTTAGATCTTTGGTTCTCAACCTTCCCCATACTGAGACCATTTAATACAGTCCTCATGTTGTGGTGAACCCCCAAACATAAAACTACTTTATTGCCATTTCATAACTGTAATTTTGCTATTGTTATGAATTGTAATGTAAATACCTGGTGTGAAGGATATCTTGTATGTGATCCATAAATAGGGGTCTTTGACCCACAGATTAAGAACTTAGGCTGATTTAGAAGCTAGCTAATATAGTAACACCTGTGGCTACCATGATGTTATGACTTATGGTTTTCAAGCATAAACTTCTCTATCTAATCAAGTGAATTTTAACCAGCCAAATGCTATCTGGAAATGTCCTGTTTCATAATAAGGGTGTAGTGACAGATCCCCAGTGACTCTAGACACAATCAGTAAGGAAAGGCTTTTAGTTGTTCACAGACTGAACTTGAATCTCTAAAGAAAAAGGCACTTACTAAAACTATTATTTAAGTCACTTAAGATATATGGCCTTGATCACCAAGGTTTACTCCATTTTTCACCTCAAATATGGACATATAAGACCTATTTTCTCCACCAAAAAACCTGGAACTATTTGTTAATGTGAAAAAACCTGAGAAAAAGAAAACCAATGATCTCTCTCTCTCTCTCTCTCTCTCTCTCTCTCTTGAGTGAGGGAGCCCTTATTTCATTCAGATTTTTAAATATTGCATTTACAATAATAGTTCTTTGAGGTGACATAAAAGCTATTTGTTTCATATTGCTAATTTTATTTTAAAAATCCATAAAGGAAGTCTGGAGGAGATCAGAAAATGGATACTCTTTCGGTTATATTTCTTTCCAGATAAACACTCTTTAGTTGCTTATGGAAGAAAACTGATTTTCTATTGAGTAGAACCAAACAAAATGGATACTAAAGAATGAGCCTCTTAAAGTCATAGATTTTTCATTGTGCTCTATTTCTTTGAGAGGCCGAGGGGAGTTATACAATTTACTACCTAAGGAATAATGTATTGCTGATAACTAGATCCCAAACAAGGAACCAGCACAAATAACACTGAAATGTTATTTGTGTGAAATGACACTCCATATTGATGGCCACAGTCTCTTGGGATTTCTTGTTTTTATTTTTGTTTTAGTGAAGGAGCACATTAGTGAACTGGATACTCAAAGATTGAATTTAATTATTATTTTATATCAGACTATCATTAATAGACATTGATCCTTCAGAATACTCCTAAAACTCCTTGCGTCATTTGACTTTCCAAGGATCAGAAGAGAAAATATAATATGAAGCTACTTAATATAGCGCTAGGTGATAATTACTGACAAAATAAAACTGAAGATTATAAAGACAACTGGCATAATTGGAACATAGTTCAGGCTTATTTGGCAAGAAGGAAGCCTTGAGCTGCATTATACAGTGAGAGTACAGTTAATGAAACCACTAGGCTACACCCAATTTTCAAAGGCTTTGGGAACCTGCATTTTGAATAGTTACTATCATTCTGTAAACCTTGTGAAGCCATGGTGTCCCTCTCATTCCATAGTGAGATTCATCCTGAAATACCCTAGCAGTGCATTAATTATTTGGCATAACTCTCTCATGTACCGTTACACTGGATGACTTTTCATTTGACCATATAATCTTGATATGTAGAATATATACTGGGTGCCTTGAGTTCTGGAAAAGGCCCCAGAGAAAGGAAATGCTTCTCACTCAGAGACCAGCAGGAACAAAACTGCCCCTTGGAAAGCTGGAAATGCCAGCCTCTGGATATTACACTACCATAGTTTCCTCTTTGATCTATCCACCTTAGATGTAATCTCTAGGGATAAGAGATTCCATTCCCTTTGATTCAACTAGCATGATTTCAATACAAACTCTAACTAATCACACAAATGTAGTCAACATGCAAGCCCTCTTTTTTTGTTCTTAGAATTCTGTACTGATTTAAAGTCCCATACTAATCCTCCCAGTATCTACAGGGGGGGTTTTCAGCCACATCCCCTCTGAGGCAGTAGTAAGACAATTGGAGCCTAGATCCTGTTAGTCCTAAGAAATGCATACTTTGTATCATTTTTATTTGCCAGAGAATTGTTAACTGTTTCTGTGTGGGTATATAAACTGGAAACCTTGAGGAATGGGAAGAACAGCAAGGAACATTGAAGGGGAAATATCAAGGAGAAACATTGAAAGGGGAATATGAAGAGAGCATTAGTGAGAACATAGAAAGAATAGATAGAAAGGATTAAAAGACCTATTGAGTTAATTTACTCATCCTCAGATACATTTAGCCAGTTTTTGCCTGCTGTAGTGGTCCTTCTGAATTCTGAGAGGCTTCAGAGGATTAACTCCCCAATATAAAACTCAATATTGAGTGATCCCCAACATAAACCTCAATATTGAATAAATGTATAAAGAGTAGGTGAAGTCTTGAGTGACTGTTTATTATTTGGCATGACCATGTCATCAGATTCATGAGAGTATAGTAAAGCCTACCTTGCAAGGGTCAGTCTTGGAAACTGGCAAAACCTTCTTCTCATCGTAATGAGAATACTGATAGTATGTGCAGGTATGAATTGTCTGGGTGTGTACAAGAACTAGCAACTGCTGCTTCCTCCTACTAGGTGTTTATAGTCTGAGATTGACCATCTATAGAGATTGCCTATGGAGACTATGTAAATCCTCTCCATGTGCTGGAAACAGTAAAAATGCTTAGTTTCTGTTATTGTGGTAATTGGTGCTGCTCCATCAATGAGTGCACTGCCCACCCAGCCTAGTCTACTCTGTGCTTATGTGTACGTTGTTTCTTTAGTATCTGTCTTTTGTTTGCTTCTTCATCACCCCAATCAGGTCAAAGTGTCAAGAACACAGGATGCAGCGCCAGTTGACTTGAACAATAACCTGAAATAAATATAGTTATGACCGCTAGCATGAGAAGGATCACAGCTGTGCTTTCCACAACCGTCCTTAGTTCTGCACCCAATTCTAGTGCAGCTTGAACACCAAGGTGCCTCAGGTCTTTTCAGATCAAGTCCTAAGGCAAAACTTGCCTTCTACACAGAAAACTCAAGCAAAAGATATGGCTTAGATAACCATCAAGTTGTCTGGTGGAAAACTATAAATGAAGAGCTACAGAGCTTTTTCTTTAATGTGTATGTAGCATCCTTCTCTATCACTTTTGATTAGTTTTGAATCACAAGACTATTTTGTCAGCTACTAGAATGGCTATGCTGGCTTCCTTCTTGGGTCTATTTGCTTGGAATGCCGTCTTCCATCCTTTGACTCTTAGGTAGGTTCCATCTTAGATGATGAGGTGTGTTGCTTGGATGCAGCAGAAAGATGAATTGTGTTTTCTAAACTATTCTGTTAGTTCATGTCTTTTTGCTTTTGAAATCACACCATTGAGTGTTATTAGTGAGCAATGTTTATTGATTTCTTTTTTTCTCTATGCGAATATTTTCTATCCTTGATTAGTTGTTCTTGGCTTATTATTTCTTGCATCCTTTGGGGCAAATCAGCCTATTTAGACTGAAGCTTTCCTTTAGTGTCTTCTGTACAGCTAGATTTGTAGATAGAAATGGCTTAAGTCTGAATTTGTTATGGGATATTCTTTTCTCCTATGATGCTAACTGATAGTTTTGCTAGGTATAGTCATCTACCCTGGCATCTGTGAACTTTCAGGACATGTAGAACATCTGTTGGGACTTTCCTAAATGAGAACACGTTTCAAAATCAGAGAATGCTCACCTGCAATGCAAGGATGCTATGCTTGATCTGCTAAAATGTTTATGAAAGTAATATCAAGTAAAAATTTATGTTCAGTTTATAAATGGGGTGTTGGCAAGATAGCTTAGTGGTTAAGAGTGTGTACCATTCTTGCCAAGGACCAGTGTTGTCTTTCCAAACTCCATGTTGGGCAACTCAAAACTGCTTGTAATTTCAACTCTCTATGACCTCTACAGCCCCAGCACCACTCACATGCACAAACCCACATAGGGAACCACAAATACACATATTTTGAATATATATAATGCATGTTTAAATAAATAAATATATTTTAAAACTGATAAGAAAACATTTACTTGAGGTTCTTCATGCCAACGCGCTCTACAAGAGTCTTTGCAAAACAGCCTTCTCTTCCATTTTCTTTCCTCTTTTTATCTTGCTCTATTAACCATTTGAGAACGAGATGTCCCGCAGGATGCTCGGCAACATGCAGCTCACCGTCCTTGCCACCAGGATGCAGTTCCACGGCTGCCGAACTCGCGATGGCTTCCATGGCAGGCTGAACATCTCTAGTAGCAGATGCCAGGATGTCAGACACCAACACACATGCAGACCTGTCCAGCACCACCTCTTGCGCATGTCCTTGCAGGTGGTTTAGCAAAGCTGGGGAGATGGATTCCAAGAGCTCACGCCGGCGGATGGTGGTGTCTTTCTTACTGTGTGCGTTGCCATCACCCTTCTGCAGAAGCTCGATGATTTCGGGAACTGTGTGGGCGGGATCTCTGGGACTCAGCAAGTACAACAGGACTTTCCTCCCGTATTTGTCATTTACTATGCTGGGCAAGGAACTGATGATTTCTGATATGATTATCTGCTTCACAAGCTTAGTATCATCAATACAATCAAATGCTGCCAGAGTGGAAACTCTGCTGGAGAAGCTGACCGCATAGGCGTGCTGGGCGAGCAAGCTGGGACCCGCTTCCCGTGGAGAAGGACGGATCCCCATACTCATAACTGGACACTCTGTACATGCATTCTTTGTTAAAGGACCTATTTATATAAAATTGTTTCTGAAAGAGAAAACATTTACTTTAAAGTAATTGCATAATGAATCGACTCCATGTTAGCATGAGTGGATTTTTAATGAATAATTCTCAAACAAAATCTTGAATAAATAGAATGCTATTGCTTCATATGCTTTTCAGCATTTGTCCTTTTGGAAATAGAAGAAAATTATTTCCTTAGTCCTGCTACTGCTCATAGCTACTGGCTCCACTGGACCGGAGGCGCTGCTCTCAGTTCTGAAGTTGTATGTGGGCTGGAACCACCTTTTCTACCCGCTATCCCAGTTTCCTCCCTGCAGGAACTTTTGCCCGTGCATTTTTTTTCAGCTAGGTCAGAAATCTTCACAAGGAGAACATCGGATGGGTGAGAGACAAACGGAAAGGCCAGAAGTTATGCTGCTACCCAAGTGCCTGATTAGCAGTCTGACCTCGGTCTGGCCTCTATACCCACCCTGTCCAGCCAGGTCCTTATCTGGGGGTGGGCTGGTTACACGCTCCAGCTTGGCCCATGCGGCAAGTTGAGGCTAGGACCACATTTGTGAGTCAGTGTTACCCTATCGGGCAGGTTATTCGGACAGTCCACAGCTCAGCTGGCCTCTCTCAGAGATGGCATTTTAGCCCAGCTTTTTCATTCTGGGTTCCTCATTGTTCCTTGTGGCCTGGAGGACTTTAGGCTCCTGACACACTTGTCGGCACACACTATCTTTGATCGCTATTTTTTTTTGTGGTAGATTAAATAATGAAAACTCATTTTAATATGTGTACTCGTTTAGAAACGTGATAGTGATAAAAGTCAGTCCACAGAAGTTAGTAAGTGGCACTTTCATAGGGTTTGTGTGCGATGTGAAATGTGGTAGAAGGAAGCTCCAATCTTTTCCCCTTCTACTTCCCATGGACCTTGTACTCAGGCTCTGGCGGTTTTGTAAGATCAAACACTCATTACTTGTGACATACTGGTTCACTGAGTCATGCAGATCTTCAAATGTTTGACGAGTGTCAAGACAATTACAACAGGCATGTTTAAAAACCACAGTCCATTTCATTTGTAAAGCAGTTGAGTGTCTGGATGCTTTCAGTTCTCCAGCACCTCAAACAAAATTTCTACAGTTCCAATTTCAAACAGAAGGGTCTAATTGTATCTTGACAAATAAGCTTTGAAATATTATCTTTGAAGTTGTAGACTTTTGGCTCATTGCTTAGAAAATTATGTGACAAATATCCAGGTCTAAATAACTATGTGTTGCCCATTCAATTTTTTTCATCAATTAAAATTGATTTTCTGTTTTAAAAGCTGCCTAATCAGTTAATAGTACATTCTATTGCACACACATTTATCCCTGAGATAGATACCACACATTGTTATTTCCATTTTTGGTCCTTTTTGAAGCAAAAATTCATTTTAAAGGCATGTGCTCCAATTTTGAAATATAATAAAATTAATTTTCAGTGACAGTAACAAATAAAGCTAAATTTATAAAATTATAGCTAGGAAGAATAGAAAGATATTCCAGATTTCCACAACTATACAAAATTGCTGTTAGGTTAGCCGGAAATTGACAGCATACAGTAAATGATATCATATAGTTATCATATTGTGTGCCTACAAATTATACTTAGAATCCCAATAATCATGTGAAATAAAAAATCTGAAAATCCAGTAGACTTCCATATCCAACCAAATGTAACATGTCCCCATTTGTACCTGAGGCATTGGAATCAGGTGGTTATTTATCTATTTGAACAAAGTGGAACAAAGCGTAATGGGCAACACAGGACAGAAACAGGGGCACTATGCTTCTCTGTGCTCATTTCTGAAAGGTGGGACTAACTACTATAAAGTGGTCGGGGGGTATCATTTCTCTATGTATTTTTTTCACTTAAATTTCATTGGAGTTTTAATCTATATAGTTGCACAGTATAATTTAGTACATTTATTGATAAAAGCATACTTATTGATGTAAATTGGTTTTCATTTCCTGTTAACATTTACAATTATCTATTATGGAAGACATGTACTCATAATTATATTTGATATCTTATTAAGCAACTTTTTAACCATGTGACGGATGCTCAAGAACTTAACCTATTGCCTTCTCCATATCTGAAAGTATAAATAAGGCTCCTATGCACACCACCATGTTGTGGAACACTTTTCTTGGGGAATCGTGTGAACAAATATCTACTCACACAAAATGGGGAACCAATAGTAAATCAAAATAAGGCTACCAACCTCCAAAATCCAACTTAGAGAACCAGTGAGTTTTATTGGGATTATTGAAAGAATATGGGTGAAAGGTTGCTTTTAGGAGCAGAAATGACTCAAAGGCAGCTGAATCACTAAAAGTCTACCATAACATGTGTGACCAGCCAGGGAAGCTGGAAACCTCAACATGTAGACAGCATTCTTTCCAGCTAATTCAGCTAGTCTGACTCTCTTCTAGGTAGTTCGACTGGTCTCTTCTCTGCTTTCAGATGGCTTGGCTGGTCTGAAAGCATATCAAGGTAGTCCTTACTTATGTTGCTTACATATGCTACCTATATGTCTGGGGGAGGGAAGAGCCTAGTGAATCCTGTTAGTTTTTGTGACTTCCTGAAGCTATTGAGTTGTTTACTCCATGAACATAGCAACCTTTACTGGAGGATGGAATGTTTCATCTATCTTTAAAATATTCTGTTGCTCCACCTTGCTAATTACAACCTTTGTCTTTCCAAACTTCCTATCCCTTAGAATATAGTTACATTAACTCCCCTTTAATGTCCTGCATCTTAAGGCTTTTCTCTCCAATACAGAAAGTTTTCATTTCAGAGGAAAAAAAAGTTGCACAACACATTGTCATAGAGGTCTGACATTTTTTTTTTGCCAGATCTCATCTCCAGTACTAAATGGGATGTCCCAATTATTAGCTATTTCCATATCTAATCTATTTCCCATCAAACAGGTAAGTTGTCCCTCATCCTTGTTTCTAAGTGTTACCATGTAGAGAAATTTAACCTTGGATATTTCACACTTCCTTAGAGTGTCTCATAGGTTAGTGAGAAAAAAAAAAAAACAGAGTAAGCTGAGCAGACTCCCTTCAGAGAGTCAAAAAAAGAATTTAACAAGAGGATTTTGTTACATAATGATGAATGGGATAAATAAGTACTTGACTAAATGTAGCCTAGACACTGTCTCCTGCAGAAGCAGCTACGAGAGAAGAGGGAAGAGGGGGAGATGAATAGAGAAGAGACCACGAACCATACACTGTCAAGCTCTAACACTGATAAAAACCATTGGATGTTGTGTAGAGTTTTCACGTCATCAATACTGAGCTTGTTTTAAAAGGTGATTTACCTACTTCATGACTAGTTAAAAACACTTTCTTTATTTTAAAGAAAAAATTTTAAATATGTTTCTGCGAGACTTTTGGAAAGCTTTGTTTTCAAGGAATGTATATAAAGCAAATCATGCTTGCATACAAAAAATATACAAATGCTCTCTCTGAGAAAAGACTTGAATTGTGATGAGATATACCAGTTCCATTCAGAGTTAGTGCTACGAAACCTTGAGTGTTAGCCTGAGCATGAATGTGCCCTCTTGCCATTTGCCTACCTTGCCTGACCTCTAATTATTTCTGAATAACACCAAACATTTTTATGGACCTCACAGTCCTTAGGTAAAATAGCTAGTTACTCAAACTTTTTGGCCAACAAGGGAGAGGTATCTTGCTATCAAAAAGGAGACCCCTTTGCTTATAGTCAGTGATTGAACAGATAAAAAGACTGACTGTCCCAAGGAGGCAGTGCACACTCATCACCCTTGCTTAAGCAGGATAAGTTATTTTGTGATTAGATAGAAATCTATTTTTCATTAAATATCTGCACAACATTAGTATTTTTTCCTGGCCTTGCCTATTCTTTGTAATGTAAGGGTGAGTATATATTTTTGCTCATGCATGTAGAGGCCAGAGCTCTGTATTTGCCAGCTTCCTCAATAGTTTTATGCCTTGTTTTTTATTTAAGATTTTGTAGAATTCAATACTACAGTATTTATAACATTTTCACTCTTCCCTCTTTTCTTTCCTACTCATATAGATCTTAATTTTTAAAACAGTATCTCTCACATAACCTAGAACTCACTGATCTGTCTCTACTGGCTAATAGCAACCCAAGAATCCTTCTGGAACTACACTCACCAGTGCTGGGATTACAAGCACATACAGTTCTTGATTGTTTCCACGTGGGGGCTCTCAGATCCTCCGGCTTGTGTAGCCAGTACTTTACCAACTGAGCCATCTCCACAGCCCCTAGTCTCTATTTCTTCAATGTCGTATCTTAAGTTGGGACATTCACCATCAGGTAATTATAAGAATTAGATTCCAAAGTATTAGTGAAATTACCAATGTGTCTGCCAGAATCTTCAATAGCTCTGGAAGCTTCCTATACCACACATGAACAGCCCAACCCAAAACACTGACAACACTGGTTTCCAAAGTATCCTGCTACCTGCTCTTAAGTCTACTCTCATCAAAACACTGGCTAAGACAGAGAATACGTTTTAGAAATATTGATTGTTTTCCCCTTTATAAGCTCAACATCCTTCCAGGTAGGCCAACTGGCAGAACCTTAGTGGAAATGAGATAAATAGAATGTAACTTTTCCGTCTCAGTGCAGAAGGGATTCCCAATCCCAGAAACCCACATTGGGGAACCAGGCAAATGACAGGAAGCAAAGAATAACAAACACAGTGTCTGTGTAAAGGACACTGATTTAGAAGCTTCTGTGACACATTGCTGTTACCACAGGTTTTAATTATTCCATTGTACAAGAATTGAGGACTCTGAAAATATTAGAAACCTGAATTTAAAAAAAAAATAAGGAACCTGAACTAATGTTCTGACAAGAGACTCAATGAAGGCAGCACACATTGACCAAACCTCCTCAATGCCAGGTCCTGTGTTGTATG